GATTAATATATTTAACATAATTTTGTTGTACAGCGGAAGTGAATGGCAAGCATGTGGCAAACGGCAATAAAGAAGAGATCGCCGCCAGTGGCGATGAGGTCGATGCCGTGCAAGAGGCGATCGGGAATCTTGGCAAATGGCAAATATTCGTCTGTCTGGCGATTTCTCTCGTCAAGTTTCCGATTGCTTGGCACCAGCTCGCGATCGTCTTCATGGCGCCGCATCAGAACTACAACTGCACCGCGCCGGCACGTGATGAAACGTCTGACCAGTGTATGGTCAATGTCAATGGAACGGTGACAGAATGCACCGAGTGGGAGTACGACAGGAGTACGTTCACGGAAACAATAATATCCCAGGTAATTGTTCAAAAGCTTGTTAGTTTATACGCGTCATCACTCCCCGCTTCGAGAATCCGAGAGCGGGTAGCGCGGGTAATTCGTTCCTTGAATTACAGTGGCGGAGTTCGAATAGATTATTTTTAACAAATGTTTTGTCGCTTAATAAAATTTGCTTAATATAAACTCCGGCGAACGTTCCTGCTCCTCCTCGAAAATGGAATGATGAAAGCGAACCGTGTGATGGATGTAAAAAAAAAATGAAATATAAGAACAATTTAGATGCGTTTCATGAGGTTTAAGTCGTGATGGGTAAGTGAGAAGACTCGGTTGGTATGTTTTTAAATAGTGACGTAGTTTAGTTTTGTTCAGTGTGCTACGATCTGTGAAACTATATTTAACATGCAACATAAATCTTAGCGGATACGGGATACACCCTGTTCGGCTTACGTATTTCGTTAAAATTTTTTTTATATAAGATATCGTAGAAAAAATAGGTTTATTGGAAATAACTTTTAACATTTCTCGTCATACCTTTAATGCAGGATATTACAATAATATTTTTGGTTACCATTCATCGGCATATCATTTCACTCATGAGAATTATTTTAAACGTTTTCGCTCATGATTTAATTTTTTCAGTGGAACTTAGTGTGCAGTCGAACACATTACGCCAATATTCAACAATCGATATTGATGTTCGGCGTCCTCCTGGGCAATGTAATATTCGGCAATCTAGCAGACAGGTACAGAAAATCCTAACATTTTAAACATACAATTCCATGAACAACCAAAAATGTTATTGTTTAATCGTCGTACTAGGTACGGTAGAAAAATGCCGTTGATGGTATCTGTAGTTTTGCAATTAATTTCTGGTATCGGATGTGCCATAGTGCCATGGTTCCCGGCGCTTTTGTTAATGAAATTGATTAGTGCCTTAGCCACTGGAGGCACGATGGTTACCAGTTACGTTATTTGTAAGTAATAGATATCTTGATGTCTAAAAGGCTATCTATGTATAATTTCTCACATTGTTAATACTCTGAATATAATGCTAGGTATGGAAATTGTCGGTACTAAATGGCGAGCAGCCATCACAGTACTTTATCAAATACCATTCAGCTTGGGTCATATGTCATTGGCCGGGCTCGGGTATTTCTTTCGCCATTGGCAACATCTCCAAATCGCCATCACCCTGCCATCCATCATCCTCCTAAGTTACTGGTGGATCGTGCCTGAATCTCCTAGGTGGTTGCTCGCCTTTGGAAAGCAGCGTGCGGCTTGCAAAGTTCTGCAGAAGGCAGCTAACATCAATAAGATTAAAAACAAGGACATTCCAGAGTTAGTCAGGCAACATTGCTTGCATCAGGTAAAAAATAAAGACAAACTATTTCATAGCAA